TACATAGACATATTATACCTTTTGGGAATTAGGATGATCGCGGGATTAGAAATCTGTCCTTCATCTGGTGCTTGAACATCCAGAATTAGGATTAGTTTTCGGATGAGGAAGGAACAGATAAAAATACAACTTTTAAAATAACTGAAAAAAATTAGCAAATTTAATTTTTTTAAATTTATATTGAATTTAAATTAGCGCAAAATCTTTGTGAATTAAAAAAGATTTGTTTTAAATTCATTTTGAAATATCTCCGAAACTTTGTAAATTGAGGAAATCAATTTTATTTCTTCAAAATGCCAAGGAATCAGAGTTAAGGTGAGAGGTTTTATGATTTGAAGAACTCAACACAATTGAAGTTTCAGTGAGTTTGTGATTTGAAGAATTCAATTTTCGGCTTGAATTAGTATTTCGGTCCAAATTGAAGTTTCGGCCTAAATCGGAGTTTCGACCCAAATCTGAAATTGAAATTATAGTTCGAATCAGAGTTGATGAGAGGTTTTGAAGTTCCATGGAATGAATTGAGAAATTCAAAGATATTTCTTCAAAATTATCATTGCTGTTTCCTAAGTTGGATCAGGCATCCCTATAGTTTTGGGTCGATTAGCCCTCCGCAGAAGCTATCTGGAAAGTTAGCTCGGAGGGAGTTTTTTTTAAGCGAGTTTTTTAATAAAATGTGTACAGCGGTAGACAATTAATCCTGCAAGCTTATCTTTACTGCCAAAAACCAAAGTTCTGACAGAAAAACTTCAGCCAAGAAAAAAAAAAAAACATGAACAAAATTTGAGGTTACAACAAGAAAAAAATATGTTATCAGAAAATGTCGACGTGAAAAGGAACAATATGAAGAACCGGGCCGAAACCCGGGATCGAACCAGGTACTGGACTCAAAGAGTTGTGAGTTCAGTACCAGGCTACAGCAGTGGTGAACCAAACTTGGAGAGCTGAGTTAAAGGGAAATAACTAAGACATCCGGAAGAGGCGTGGCACGTGGAACTAGAACAATCTACCTCGTTGGACGAAATAAAAGTTTCGGTTTGAAATTCCAATCGCCTGAAGAAGGACTGGGCGTACAACGGCCGAAACGTTGTGAATATGGCAATGAAGATGAGGATAACAGTGCGAATAATGTAAATAATGTTACTAAACATAATACCTCATCTCAGAGATATAGACAGATATTTTCAACAATGTACGCATTTTTTACGTATTTATGGTTATTTTTTTAACTTTTAACAAAAACGATATTGTTGTACATGTAGTTATGGATAATATTATACATTAATTACTTATTTTTTTTAATCAATAACTATTTGTGCTCAGTTGTTGACATTAATAGCTATCTGCTGATGTGTTAAAATTTTGGTTTAATGCAATAGTAAAAATTTAAATTTCATCTCTCTGATAGATGTCGCAATCTGTATAATACTGTTATGTTTCTTTGTGCTTATGTTGTTTAACAAAGGGAATGTTCTTAAAGAGTCAAATACTGGAAGCTGTACACACATATCCTTCAGGAAACGATTTTAAAAATGATAAAAACAGCATCATTGGTTCCTTTTTTTCCTGCAAACGTAGTATAGAATTATATCACATGACAGAGAAGAAAAATAAAAGTCCAGTCAAATCGTTATATTGTGGTGTTGAAAAGTCCTGATCATCCAGCTGCTTAAAAGCAATATTAACACGGGTCGACAAAGAAAATTTAACAGGATTTCATTTTCAGCTACCGGCAACGTTTTCCCCATGGATACTCACGTTTGAGTAGACACGCTGTTTTGTTTTTTGGGGGGGGGTTGTTTTTAAACAGTGTGAATTACTTATACGGGCCTAATATCCGAGAGACTTAATAAATAGAATATACTCTCCACCAAGTTTCCAAACAGTGCCCCCCCCCCCTTTGTAAGCCAAATGACCGTCTGATCTAGTGTACTTTAAACCGTTCGGATACAGAGAACGTCACAACCCAATAGGATTCAATTATCTTTTTTCAGGGCCGGTGCAAGGGTCCCGTGCCCCGCCCCTTAAATCTATGATACAGAGCCTCCCCACTATGCTACATCTCAATTTTCATGAGGTAGTATTTATATATAATTAATAAGTTATATTGTAACCTAATTATGTGCAAAATTGATCATATGCAATATAGGTGAACAAATAAACTAGAAAAACTGAAGATAAATACAATGTTTTATCTAAATACAAATTAGAGACATCTGTAATGATCATCATCACACATACATACATACTTACACAAATTCAAATTATACAACAACAACGACCATTCATTAGATAATAAATCAACAGTACTTTGTAATAGACAATTTACAAATCGCAGCTATGCGACAATTTTATAATCGCTATATTTTCATGTAGTCGATTTTGTGCAATTTTGGGAGAAACGGATCCCAAGAGCCTTCTCAGCTGAGTACATACTTTCAGGAAATATCAGCTTCTAATTGGTCAATAAACACACAAGTGGCTGTTGCAATCCACCCACGCACAATTTAGCGTGACTAAGTCAAGTTTCCCGCCAAGTTCTTTTGATCCTGTCACGTGATTAAATTATCTGCAAATAGCAAACACGAGTTTGCCTCTTTCTGTTTTTTCTCTCTTCTTCCTGCGAAGATGTGACCTTTAAGAATTATCGTCTCGACCATGGTGATCAGACGTTAAATAATATTTCACGAATTCACGTACGTACAAACTCTTACGAACTTTTCCAACCTAAATTACAAACATACAGAACATTTCCAAACATGCAGCCAGAACTTTATTCTTCTAAAACTACAGTTTAATAATTAATTCAACTTCGTGAGCTCCGATAAAAATATTTCCAATCTAAGAGAAATAACATCAGATCTTTAACTTCTACGCATATACATCAACACACAAATAAATGCAATGTTATGTTTGTTTTAAAACCTTTTGTTCCTTCTTCTTGTATTTCATGCTTTGTGGTATATTACGTTTAATATAAATTGTGTAGTCATGTTATTCACGCAGCCGTTAGCAAACATCCACAATGGCCATTGCTCTTAACATGCCTCTACACATCATAATTAGATAATTCCATTTTAAATCAACAATGTTTTGCGGCAATTTTTAACATCAACTTGAAATTTTTCTTGTTAAAACGTTAAATCATTTTAACACATTCAATATTATGGACAAAAAATAGTGAATTTTATAGTGTTTTTTAGCATGAACAAGACAAATACGCGGAGTTAGACAATAAAGAAAACAGAATTTACGTCTAAATACGCGAAAATTTGTCATCCTTTAATAAATTAATATTCATTTGTGCTTAGTTTAATTTGTAACGTGTATAAATGTAAGTAGAAAAAAGCAACATTATTTACATTATTCGGACTATTGTCCTCATCTTTGTCGCCATATTTATCACAACGTTTTGTCAGTTATATCCTATTAATTCCCCACTCCAAGTTCTCCACTGCCTTAACCGGATATTGAACTCACACTCTTTGGGTCCTGTCACTGATAACTGACATCAATTAAAAATGGCACGTGGAACTAGAACAGTCTACCTCAGTGTGCGAAATAAAGGGTTCAGTTCGACATTCCAACCACCTGAAGAAGGCCGGAGCGTACAACGGCCGAAACGTTGTGGTAAATATGGCGACAAAGCTGAGGATAATAGTCCGAATAATGTAAATAAAGTACATAATACCTCATCTCAGAAATATAGACAGATACAGAAAAATCAAATGTTGATAAGATAATGACCCCCCCCCCCCAATCAGGCTTGAGGTCGTGAGGGTAGTATGCACCGGCCCGGCCCTTTTGAAGAATACACATCCTCTCGTACAAATCTCAACTTTTCGTCTCTGAAAATGTAAACAAAGTAATAATGTCTGAAGAATCAATGCTTTTTTTTTTTCATCAGACTTGATTGTTCTTTACTTCAAACATTATTTGTACAAATTAAAGAAATTAAAAATTAAGAAAAAATAACAAAAAACGTTCACGCACAGCTCAAGTTTCATAAAACTTAAATTTAAAAAGAAATGAATAAGGGACAAAACCCTGTGAAAATGCTCTCATTTGATTTATCTCCCTTTACTCAGTGAATCGTAACAGCTGTCCATGGCTGGTGTAAGCTAAGTAATAATAATTTGTTTCGTTTATGGGGCAATCCTTTCTCAGACAGTAGCTCCCCCATTATGAAAAGAAGAAGTTCTATGGATAATTCCCGCCGTCCCCATACGGAAACTCTAATCACACGTGCGCGTTGAAACACTCGCTTTAAATTTGGCCTTGTGCCACATTCTGTTCAAATGGACACGAATATAAATGAATTCTTACCCCAGGGAGCATTTATCCTATTTCAGTTAAATAAAGAGGAAGGTCGGGATCAGTTCCTGATGACCGATGCGTCCAAAAAAGGGAATTACCGAAGAAGACCGAGCAATTTTTCGTCTCCCCGCATGCAGAATTATTAGCGGATGGCACATTTAAAAGTGTGTCTTGCACGCCGGGGACAGATAAAATTTTAAAATAAAATTTATTATCACAGTACTAATATATTTAGTTAATTATTATATTAAAAAAAAAAAAAACAGCATGAAGGCCCCAAACCCAGTAAAAACAAAGTTTTGTTATGAAAATGCTTGTTATTAAGAGTCTTAATAATAACAAGCATTTTCATAACAAAACTTTGGTCTTTCCTCTTAGTCTTAAAGAAGACTCTAAGAGGAAAGACCAAAGTATTTTTTTAAATCCTTACGAGCACGTTAGTTTAAGTTAAGTTTAAGTAGTACATACAAAATTAATAATTTATTAACAACTCGTATGAATATAAGGGAGCAGAGATTTATAGCAGCTTATGTTATTATTAATGGAAGATTAAAATTTAAATTAAAAAAAGAAGAATAAAAGAATTAGTCACGAGAACTTTGTAGAACTATCGAGTTTCTCTCTTTATTGTCTATGTTAGCTGAGAAGAGTTAGCCAGAGTTACTCCCCTTGATAAGCGAAAAAAGATGGCGGTTCTTCTTCGGCGCTTCCGCACGTGTTGTGATAAATTTGACGAAATCTTCGGCCAGTTCCCCTTAATTAACATTCAGCGATCCCCTATCCGCCAACAAAGCTACGGTACAAATTTTATAAGTAGAACATGTGCCATTAACCAACTAGCTAAAAAATATGACAATAATCTTTCTACACTGGGGCATAGTACCACCAACGACCGCCTTCGTTTGTTGTTGCATCAGAAAAACCAGCATGGAGAAAGATGGTGCTCCCCGAACGGAGGACACAAAGGTCAACCCAATCCGGTGCGCCCTAAATGGACTTATTTGCCCTTCTCATCTACTAGAAGACTTCACATGAATAAGACTCTCTTACGAAATTCGTCTCTTCTTAAGAGAGAACTTAGTAAACATCGTGTCTACACCAGCATACCAACGAGCCTGGTTAGTACACAGAACATAAGTACATATAACCTTTTATGTAATAGATTAACAAACTCTTCTTTGAATTTTGATTATAAATGCCGTTTTTTCTCAACTTCGTCATCTGGAGATGACGATGATAAAAGTAGTAAAGAAGAAACTGCTCTGTCGACAGAAACATCAGGCGATACCTTCCCCAATCTTGGCCAGTCAGGTTTGGGCATGGCACTAACTGCCCTCTCTGTTCCTGAGGTGTTTCCCAAAGTGCCTGTTATTGCCGTTCCACGAAACCCCGTTTTTCCAAGGTTCGTCAAAATGATTGAGGTAAAAATAAGTGACACTTTTTTTTCTTCTTCTTCACAAATATTAATAATTATAAATTAAATATAAATTGATTGCATGTTACTGCTAGTAGAATTAGCAAATGCAAACTTTTTACTCGCAAATTTAGTACCCCCCTCTGTTTTTTTATGTCGTTAACATTTGTCTGTTTTGAAATAGAATAGTTAAAAAAATGTTGTCCATATTTGCCTGTTGTTGTAAATTCCCGGATTATTTGCTTAAAAAAAATAAAATAAAATAAAAAAACAGCTTCTTCATGTAAAAAAAAAAAAAAAAATTCAATGATTCTATTTTTTTCCGCATTTTTAGACTTTTATAAAAATTTGATTTCCTACAACACAATTTACGATAAAGTGATCTACCATAGCTGTTCCATCTCCCTTACTGTCTTACGCCCATAAATTAATTTGTTAGTACCTAGATGGGTGACCGCTTGAGAATACCAGATGCTGTAATCTTGGATTGTGTGAGTGATGTAATAATAATCATTATTATTACATCACTCACACAATCCAAGGCGTTGATCCATTATTAAATAATGGATAACGCCTCGGAGTTGTTAATCGAAGAGCCGAATTAAAATTTCAATGGGGTTCTTTAGTTTTTACTTTTTACATTCACTTAGGATCAAATACTATTGGCAAAGCAACCCATGTCTTCTCCACCACCAATATGGGTTAACGAGTTGTATCAGTAAATCATTATTATCTCCAAAAGAATTCTTACAATCTAAAAATATTTTCTGGCTTTTAAATATTTTCGAGAAATAAAAAAAAAAGAGAGAGGGCAATATGAGACGTTTATAATTAATACAAACTGGACACAAAAAAAAATAAAAAATAAAAAACCGAGTGTCCTAATTTGAGTAAGAAAGGGATTGTTTTTTCCGGCTTATACACCTTTTGGCTACCAGCATTCAATTAGAATGGAGCAAAAACAGCATCATATTTAGATGTAACAGAATCTATCTTCTTCAACTGCTTTAAAGTACTTTCATTAAAAAACATTTTGAATTAACGTGTTACTGGTATACAGAAGTAGTCTGTCTTTTTATTCAATCGAAGTTAGCCGAGGACATGAAGGGGTAAAACAGGCAACAAGACCCACTTCAGACCAGAATTATTTTGGAGTTTTTGAAATTCAATTTGTTAGTGTGCTAGACAGATGTAAAACATTATACATTTATAAAGCAATTGTTAAGTTTGATGGAAATTGATTGAAAAATCAACAAAAAATAAGGAAGAAACCAGTAATATTTTTGCTACCTTCAAAAAGGTGGATAAGCCGGAAAAAACTATCCCTTCTTTACTCAAATTAGGACACTCAGGAATCTGATTTTTTTTTTTGTCCAGTATGTCTCTCTCTCTCTCTCTCTCTCTCTCTCTCTCTCTGATGGTTATCATGGCTCATTTGTTGAATTTTGATTTGATCTTTTTTTTTTTTTTTCTTTTTTATCAAGACTCCAGGTAATGCTCACAATTTAAATGATTCTTTTCCCATAGTTATTATAGGTAACATTTCAGCTGCAGCATTTTTTTTTTTTTTTTTTTTTTTAGCCCTCTTCAAGTGTAGGTTGAATCCAATCTTGATAGTACCTTCTGGCATGGGTGTTAACTTTTGACCAGAAGTGGGGTAAATGTTATTCCTCATTTTAGATGGGAGAAGGAGCCCAGTCCCACGGATTCCAATCCTGTACCAGCATATTCCTCATTGCTCTAAGCGATGTGGGATCAATGTCGTATAGATGCCAGCATGACCATGTGTTGCAGGGTCTAGTCAAAAATTATTTTTCCTTGGACCATAGGCATATGTATATGTATGGTGCTCCCTACATAAAAACGACCTTGTGCCACATCCTGCCTTAGTGGGGAGACCCAGTAAATATACCTTGTATGGCCTAAGGTTAAAAATGTACACTGGAAGATATTGTGGTGCCAATAAAATTCATTGGTATATTTATTCTACACTAGTAGCCATACCCAGCTGGTCGATCAGAAAAAGCATTCAATTAGAATGAAGCAAAAACAGCATCATGTTTAGATATAACAGAATCTATCTTCTTCAATTGCTTTAAAGTACTTTCACTAAAAAACATTTTGAATTAATGCAGTTACTGATATAACAAAAGTAGTCTGTATTTATTCAATTGAGGGCATGAAGGGTAAAACAGGCAACAGGAAGACCTGCTTCAGACCAGAATTATTTTGGAGTTTTTGAAATTCAATTTGTCAGTGTGCTACACAGATAAAAATCAACAAAAAATAAGGAAGAAACCAGTAAAATTTGCCATTTTTCGTGTTTTAACGCAGGTATTTACTATATGGGTGGGCTCAATTATCAAATTAAACGACTGTTAAGCTATCAACTTATTGTTGGCTACCGTTAAGTTTGTATTAGATTGCTTGAAAATTGAGGGAGTTTTTAGTTTAAAATTTGTGTTGAAATCAGTTTTTTGTTTTTTGCTAAATGCAGTGGCATAGAAATAATGTCGGGATTATCTCACCGACGAGTAAGGGAGGAGGTGAGGAAGGAAAGACAGTTTCAAGGTTTGCAACAAAAAGTCTGATGTTGCTTACAAGCGAAGTCTTCCTTGTAACAGTAACAAAAGTCAAATGACTAGTAACTCTCGGTACTCTCCTCTGTGTAACAAGTGAGCTCTACAAAGGATCTGTAGAGAAAAAGAAACTGAACTTGTGACTGAAAGGGAGCACCTTTTTAAACTCTCAAGGTCTTGTTCAACGTGATACAATGAGACCAGAGCGTCTATAAAAATCATCAATTCTTTGACCCTGGTTTGGCCCGGGAGAAAAAGTACTATTTTAGACAATGACACCAGAGCACATACTTCCCCCTCCTGACCTACCCTCGGTGAGTACAATACCTTGTTCTTTTTTTAGTCAACACAATAAAAATGAGGTATCATTGAGCTTGTCCTGATGTAACCTACATACCGAGTTTGACCGAAATTGAAGTTGAATTGATTTTTGATTGGCTTTATCAATTATTGATTTTTTTAAAAAAAGTATTGTTTTTTTTTTTTTTGTTAATGCTATCTCTTACATTGTACAATGTATGTGCCAATTTTTGTCAAAATTTGGTTGGATGGTTGTATCTTTAGTGAAAATGTATCACACAGACATACTCTGTTTTTTATATATATATATCGATTGCTTTTCCAGAGTGTGACTCTGCTCAGTACCGAGTAATCTAAGGAGTTTATTCAGTATTTGGTACCTGAAAATGTAAAGTTGTTTCTGATGCTAAATTCAACAATCACCGATATTGAGTAAAGTTATAAAATTCACCAATTTTCATTGTTTATAGGAGTTAAATTATTTTGTATTTATTATTTTTTTTATTTTTTTATTTTTTATTTTTTAAAGGCAAAATGTGTGATCAGAATATGAGACTAGGTAAAGCAATCTAAGTAGTAATATGATTGTTCCTCAGCTTTTCCAGCATTTTTTTCATAATGTGATTTGCATTTTCAGGCTCATTATCTGAAACTATCTGTGATAAAGCACCAAAACTCAGAAAAATTTCATCTATCAATAAATGAGTAATAACTTCACCTTTTTTATTAGCAACAACAAATGCTTCAGGCCATCCACTACAAAAATCAATAAAACTATGTATTTATTGCCTGATAATGAGCAAGCATCTGGTCCTGATACATCAACTGTAATCTTAGCAATGGGGGCAGGTCAACTTCCTGCAGTTTAGGATTTACGTTCTGGAGATTTCTAGATTGACATTGGATGCACGTTCTAATGTGATTGACGATGTCCTTGTACATACCAGACCAAAAGTATTAGTGCCTCATAAGCTCTCACACTCTTTTCTACTCCTATGTGTCCATTTTCTTCCTGGTACTTATAGCGAAGAAAACGGCGACTTACCTCGTCAAACCAAGTGACAGCGTGTCACGTGTATTCTACGACGGAAAAAGTGGCAAAAAAGAAAATTACTTACCAAACAAAAGGGCACGTATTCCGCATAACATGCTGAAAATGGAATATTTGAATTAAAAAAAAAAAACAAGTCCGTCGCAGGAGTCGCTATAAAAGTATTTTGATATGCAAATTATGGAACATCCTATCCCAGCTGTCGACGAATGAAAAAAATAGGTTCTGCCGATAAAAGCAGTTGGTGTTCTCAATTCGAGAGCGGAAAATTTGGGCATTTTTGGCTACGGCGTTTGTCAGAGAGTGAGTTATTTTTCTGACTGGTTACATGCATTGTGATTTGAGATAGTACCAGCGAATCGAGTTTTCAGCATTTCTTTCTGCCCCCGATATCCGAGTCTGTACTTACAGTAATTTTTCTTTGTGTTGTGGAAGTAATCTGCAACAAATACTTCCTTTGCTTTCAGAACGCTTACAGTACTGTGGTATAATCTTCATGTGAAGTTGATTTGGATCATATAATTGTTCACTAGGTTCATCGTCTGAATTTGATAAATAGAAAAGTATATCCTCCAGCAGAACATACTCATTCCCTTCCTTAACACTCATGTTAACCTTTTTTTAATGCAATGTTTCAGTTCCTCAATGCCTCTGTCTGCATTTTGCATATTTTCACCCTGTATTTGTGGTTTCACTTCGTTTGCAACTAGGTTTTCTTCCAGGCTCTACATTTTACTAAATCTTGCAGTTCGAATTCATTGGAGTTAATTACTGCGACCTCATCTATGTCTAATGGCTTAAAATCCTCATCCACTGGTGGGTTAGATTATCTTGATATGAGATCTACACACACATTATTTCTACCTGCTAAATATTCTGCCCTACAATCATATCCTTTGATACTAAGGGCCCACATTTTATTTTGGCAACTCCAAAATGTACTGAAGAGGCTTGCGGTCTGTAAATATTATAAATTTTGCATTATGAAGGTAGTGATCTAGTTCTTGCAATGCATAAACAATAGCAAACGCTTCCTTTTCTATTGTTGACCAGCAAGTTTGCATATCACTTATTTAG